TCCACCACAATTTTTGAAAGCATAAAGGGTTCCAATTAGCTGGTGATAGTGTAAAAGGAATTATGGTTGGAGAAAGTTCTGTCCGATAATATACAAGGGGTGAGCATTTTTCTTTGTGATGCCATTCCTGTGTGCCTCTTGATTCGTACAAATACAAAGCAGCATTTTTTATGTCCTGTTTCTTCCCCATCCGTTCTCGTTTACACTGAGATAGGGTTTCGACGTAGTTTGCAGAAAGGAACTGCACGGGCAAATATGAATAGGTGTAAATGTGTTTATACAGGGCATCTGTCAATAGGTGTATATGCATTCTGAACATTGAGGTAGAAACTAAAAAATACCCGCTTGCGAATTCTTTAATGGAAACATTCAGGTTGCTGTTAACATCACAGAATTCTCTCCCCAGGCACGGGTGACCAGAAAAATATGTCCTAAAGAGTTGGACAATACAACTGCGTTCGCGTTACCACAGGATTCGCATGGCTCCATTGGAAAAAGATACATAAATCCTCGTTCCAGACGTTGAATATTATCGTTTGTACATAACGCTTCGGGAAAAGTATTCCATGCCACATGATGGAGTATATGAAATTGGTTGACGCACAGGGATAGAATGAATTTTTAAATAGAAGCAATATCGGCGTGTGCACATTTATTTATTTTAATAGAGGGGGGTTGTCCAAGAGGACAGAGCACGAATCTGCGTGGAGGCATTCATATGACAGGGGTTTCTTCATGTTGTACATAAGGAATGGGTATTAATAGTAACTGCTGTGTGGGGATGACATTAATAATAAATGGCTCCCGCGTTATAAACACGCTTCGGGTAGTGTCCTGTAAGAATGAAAGGATTTTTAATTATTTATAAGAATCTGAAAGAGGCGAGTTTTAATATTGCGTGCATTGTTTATACGTGTATCTAATCTGAAAACACTGACACAGATTGAAATATACAGCAAAGATGAGCATCTCATATAATCCATTATGGATAAGACCACACTGAACAGAATAGAGAAAACAGAAGAATGCGGGAAAATATGAACACCTGAGTTCCATGGAAGCTGTAGGGTTAGTGTAAATTTAAATATTTGAAATATGTTTGGTTTTCGTATTCATGATGAACATCGTTTCTGTTCGTTGCCGTTTATCTATGGCCACGTTTTATGCATAAGCAAAGGAGAAACCACATAAAAGGGAATGCAGGGGTTGGGGTTGGTGACATGCAAAAAACAAATTAGTGCCATATGTCCCTTGTAAGCGCCTTCTCCTCGAAACGTCCATGTGTGTTTTATTGTACTAGAAAGGTGACATTTCTTTATAAGTAGGATTTTATGTTTATTGAGAATTATTAGTTTCTTTGCGATCATTTTCCTCTGTAGCGCAGCCGTTATAGGAAACCTGAAAGATTAGTAAGAGTGGAGGGTCATCTTCATATGACTGCACACTTTAGTAATTTATCTTTGGTGTTTAAAATGGTAAATATAGCTATATATACGTATGTATACATATATATATATTTGTGTGGTAATATTATGATGATAGGTGGCATAACGCTAATATATTTCTTCATGGGAGTTATGATAGCAGACACGCCACACGTGAGTGTATCGGAATGGGTATTGCACATTCTAATAAACGACATATTAGAATATAATGGTGATTTCGTAGACATGGTGAGCTTTACGTGAGAATTGTTCCCAGAGGTGTGTGCGTATTCTTTGTGGTTTCTATTTTTTTTTCTTCTCTTTCCCATAAATTTCGCAATACCCGACATGTCCTTCATTGGTGTGTACTGATTGCCGCGTGAAACTATACTGGCCGACTAGAAGCCGAGATGACAGGCAGGGTTCTTTCAGGATAGAAAAAAGCCTGAAGTTAGACCCAAGCTGTGGAACATATTTCTGCTAAGTATTCAATTAAGAATTAACTCAGAGAATTCATAGTTATCCATTTTGATAACACAGCGCTCATTCATGTGAACCTGCTATTCTTTTAGAGGATATACCCCTCTGGATATTGAGCTGTATGATCAGCTGGGCACCTTATCATGGTGTTAATGGAACTGTTAAATGTATCACTACATCAGTTTAATATTAAATAAAGAAGAAATCCATTTTGAATAAAGAGATTGGCTAAATGGGAAGAAGTATGCGGCTGAATAGTAGGAATTAAGCATTCTTCGCCGTACAATAGCATGTGGGGAAGACAAGATATTGCAGTAATTATATTTAAGAATTACTCTTGTTCGGTTATGGGAGCTGTTCAGTACTAGGAGTATGTTAACGCGATTTCATTAATTTGGTCGAGAGAATTACGTATTATGGGCAGAATTTAGCAGAGGACGGAACAGAAAGATCCGAGTATTACTTGCTTATCTAAAGCAACAGAGGATACAGCACAAGCAAAGTATACCAATCAGGACGGGACCGAAATTGATATGCGATGACGACAATGATTATGCACCAATCTATTGTGATTACCCCCAGATATATGTAATACGAGAGGGGACAGGAATAGTGAGGAGATTGTGGGGCTGCTTATAATGTATTACAACGAATACATCATAAGAATTAAGGAAACATTCCAATATTAAATCATAGAGAGCAACTGAGAATGAGGAATATGTGTGAGTAAAACCGAGTTCTCCATTCTGCATATCATGAATTGTAGTAAACTAAAAAAGGAAAATACGGCATTCCTCATTTGGGGGGGTTAAGCGAATTTACATGATGCGTATGAACTGGGGATACATCATTTCCGAGGGGCAAGAGGCGGATGTTGGCCGCAAAAATACAGGTAATCTAAATCCATTTATACATTGCTATGATTTATTGATAACAGCTTATGTTTTGTTGACCTCTTTACACCTTACCATGGGAAATATACCCATGGATATATATATAAGTATATTTTTTCCCTTTTATATGTGGGATTAGTTCATGAGTCATAGAGATAGAAAGTCCTAACCTGGTAAATTATGATGCATATCTGGCGTCATACAGAAGGGTACTAACCAAAAAAACAAGGAGAAGGGAAAAGAATGGTACCAGTGGTACACATTCTTACCCAGAAAGAAGAAATAATTATGAGTATATACGGATTCCGTTTAGAAGATTGTTCATTTGGCATAAAAATGTCCCCCCTAAAATTACACAATTGCTCATGGGGTGTCCTATCTGGGTACATATAAAAGTAATATCTTATTGAATTTAGACTCCTATCATAACAGTTTTAATTACAGTTTGCACATTAATTGCATGTTGAGTATAATTGAAAAGACTGTTATTGCGCTTAAATGTGTCAATGCCTATCCGTAGAGACTCTTAAGAGTCCAATGGAATAGAGATATGCGGATCCAATTGACAAACCGTGAAATGGTCGAAAGTGGTGTTTATATGACTCTTTTTATAATTATTTTACTTTGGTGAATGCATTCTCATGCCCCATGCTTCCTGTGACTGTGCCTTTTGATGTTCCGATATTTTCACCAGTATCCCCCCGGATTTCGCATTCTCTTGGTGTATGTTCTTTCATGTTTCTGCATTTCTATAAATGTGTTAATTCATATCGTAACCTGTTCGCCTATCCATCCCCATGCTGCATAGTGGCAGTGGATGCGGCTTCGTGTTGTATCATTCCCATGAGTCTTTTTTATCATGTTCCCGCATTTTTATGAGAGTATTTTTTCATGGTGCAACTTCCCTAGATATGCGAGTTCTTGTAGCCTAATTTCGCCAAGGTGGCTCCACGTGGCGTAATTTCGCAAACGTCGTTTCACGTGGCCTAATTTCGCGAATTTGGCTTCACGTGGCGTAATTTTGCCGACGTAGTCTTAGTTGGCGTAATTTTTCGCGGACGTGGTCTCATGTGGCTTTTCTCCCAAACTCTCTTCATCTGGCTTTTTCCCCAAACTCCTTTCATGTGGATCAATTTTTTCGGGGATCCCTTCTTGGGCTATACCGGTCGCAGGCGCGTTTTGTTGTTTGGCTTTATTATATATATTTCTCTACGTAATTCTTTCATGAGGATACACTTCTTTGCACCATTCCTTTGACGAAAATTCTTTGGAGGGGTTCTTTATGATGACATTTTTCGCAGCACCTCTATGAAGATACCACTTCCCCTGGCATTTCTATGAATATGCCCTTATCTGCTGTATTTCTATCACGATTCTTTTTGTGTAGTTCTTTCCTCATGCTGCATCTCTCCTCCTGCATTGTTATGGTATTCTCCCTCCGGATCATTGGGTCCTTGTGGTGTCACGTCACTGTGATCTGTACTGTTTCGCCGCGGCATCGTGATTCTTTTTCCTTGTGTGGCATTCTTTTAAAGGTGCTCAGATCTGGCATGTCATTATAATAATGCTTCTTTGTGCTACATTTTCGCATAGCTACATCCTTCCTGTGGCGTCAATATGAAGATTTTTGTGTGTGTTGCATTTTTCTCAGCATGATATTTCCTGTTGCATTCTTAGGAAGTCCTCTTTTTTTATGCTGTGTCATTGTGAGGTATCTTCCTTGTGGGGCATCCTTCTTCCTATGATTTATTTTACCGCGTTGTACTTTTAATATATCCTTTGGCTCGCCATTTTTATAGAGACTGTTTCCTCTGTCGTGTCACTATTAAGATTCTTCTGTGTGCTGCATTTCCTTTCTGACGATAGTCCTGTCCTGGGGTGTTGTGATGAAGCTTCCCGGGTCATGTCATTATGAGAATTTTTGCTGGTTTGGCATTCTTACGAAGACTCCTTTTACCGCGTTATATGGATGATATTCTTCTGTTCGACTCTTGTATAAAAATGCCTTTTCTTTTTATCATGTTATTGCCATGGAATTTCCTCGCGAGGCATTCTTCTTATGAAGATATCTCTGTTCCGAGGCATTTGTTATGATCCTATTTCCTGGCTGCAGCTTGAATATATGGTTTTGTATCATTTCTTCTATATGGAGGGTTTTTCCTCGCGCGGCATCGTGAAGATGCTCGTTTGTGTGTCATGTTTTCTACGAGGATGTACTCTTTTTGCGGCATTTTGAAGATGTCCTGTCGTATGTGATTTCTTTTATGAATATCCTCGTTTTCCACGGCATGGTTAAGGTGCTGTTGCGTTGTTTATTTTTTTTATGAAGATTATTTTTTCTCCTGGTGTCTTCAGCATGTTCCTTTGCCACGCCCCTATGAAGATTTTCCTTTGCCTCGATTATTGTGAAAATCTTTCTTGAGGTCACATGACTGTGAAGTTGCCATTCTGAGTGCATCTGTGTCGATAGGTTGTACTGTATGTCATTCTTTTTAATTAGAATTTTTTTTTTGCCTAACATTGTGATTGACCTATTCTTTCTCCTTTCTATGTGGAGTCATTATGAAGATATTAGCTTCCTCTCTTCGGCTATCTATGAGGATGGCCACGTAGGTGAAGTTTAAATATCAGAACCATACAGATGTTCTAGATTAATCAAACAGGAATAATATACGCCTGTGTGAAGGGCCACTTTTATCCCTTATGTATTATTGCTTTATAAGTGATGATGTTCATGAAGTAGTGTTAAGTGAATAGCAGTGTCACCCGGATAACACTGTTAATTGAAGTGTAGAGTTGTGTCAGGGGTAGGGCTCTTCTGGAGTGTTATTGTAGGAAGGTTACTCACGTGTGCGTAGTACTCATATGTACAAAGTACTGACTTGCTTATGGTTTCGTTACATGAAGAACACGAGCCCGCTTCGGCTACTGTTGTTTGCAGAATAGTCGGGTGCATT